ATATGTTAACATTGCAGCTTAAGAGCACAAAAATAAAGGTTAGAATCAATGGTGAATTATCAGACAGTTTTGATATAAAAAAAGCCATAGCTAATGGCGTGGAGCTTGCATTTTCTAAGAATGGCTTTTTCATATATTAACGTTCTCGTATGCAAATAACCTTATGACGATGTGTTATGTAGTCGAAGATCTTGAAGATTTTATCAAAATTTTTGAAACAGTGTCACATCAAAATGTGCTCATCGTCGGCATCAGAGATGAGATGAGTTCGTATTTTTTTGGAACCGAAACGAACCGATTCAAAATTTAGGGCGTGGGTGTGAGCATCAATCTTCTCTTCATTTATACCCTCACCCACACCCCCCACACACCCACGCCCACACCCACACCCAAAAAAGAAATCAAACGTCAAATGATTGACTAGGAGGCCAAATATGAGATGGCTGGTTTTCCCAAAACCCAATTTTCCAATCATTTATATCTCGTCAAAGAAACGTTCAAAAAGTCTGAAACTCTGGTTTTCTAGGTTTCTCGAGATGAGCAATCGAATGAATAAGTCAGATTCGAAATTAAGAATTTTTGCGTACGACTCGAATTCTCTCATATGAATCTGAAAGAGAGGAAGAACGCAAATAAGTTGAAACCATGTACACGTGTTACGTTTGAGACAAGGCAACAAACAGAACTGAATACCAGAACACGAAAGGTCTGAAGGACTCTACCGGGGTATGAGTGTCATGATACCCAGTCACTTCTAACATAACAAAATAGTTTCTGTACGATATATTGATCTGCCACAGAGTTGAACCGTGCTTTATCCGGCAAGCGAGAGTAACTGTAGAAACACAAACACTATTATTATCATGAGATAATCAAATAAGCATCTACTCAAGATTACAAGACTGCAAAAAATGAAAGTGAAATGTAGTAGTAGAAGAAGATATAGTTCAAGCAACATATATTTCACAGCTTGCCGTCGTCTGCGTACATTGCTGATCCAGATATCCTCCACAAACAAGTACAGTTTCCTCGATACCTTGAGGGAAAAACGTCAGCGTATGTGTATTTCTTGCTGTCAGCATGCTGGCCGCAGGAGCGAACGTGCGAGAAACAGGATCGAACAGGTCTACCGAACTCAAGCTCTGAGATGAGGATGAGCTTCGTCCTCCAGCGATCAGAACTCGTTTCGAATCGGGCAAATACACAGCTCTATGATCGGCTCGATCCGCATTCATATGTGCTTCAAGAAGACTGAATGTACTTGTCATTGGATCGAAAAGTTCACATGTAGCCGTTGTTTGAGAGTTAGTGTCATACCCACCGCAGAGTAAGACTTGATTGATGCTTGGTATATACGTTGATGTATGTCGCGTTCGGCTCCGAATCATCTTTGAAGAAAGTGAAACAAATGTGTTGCTGGCCTCATCGTAGCGATCTGCCAAGTTAGTGGTAGTACTGAACGAATCATTTTTCTGCCCACCCGTGATAAGGACACGATATGTACTTTCAAACAATGATACAGCATGGTTCTGTCGTCCAATACTCATAGTACCATTAACTAAAACAATTGAAGATGAGGTCTGATCGAACACTTGACCTTGTGCCGTAGCTTCTGAAGTACCCGTCTCAGTGCCACCTGTCAAGAGCACGCGTCCGTAGCCGGAGAAAAACGGCGCATCAGAAGAACAATTACTCACCGGTATAAGCATTTTAGCCCTGACACCGACCGAATCTGTAATTGGATTGTAGATTTCAGCATTGGCATGTGGATAACCACTGACACTCAAACCTCCAATGAACAACATATCACCATTTTTGAGAAGGACAGCACTGGCTCCAGCACGGGGAGAAGACAGACCGCGCCCGAATCCCACAATACAGTTGCACGAACGAAGGAACTTGTCAATATCATTTAAAACATTGGTATTGGTATCGTACCCTCCGGCAAGAACGACAGATTCTTCATTAAGTATGTAGGTTGCGGTATGTAAAGCTCGAGATCGGGTCATGTTTCCTACAGAACTCCAGACATTGGACTGCGTTCTCTTTTGCGCTTGCGAGCCGATAACTGCAAAGATACATTGCATTTTGAGATAGATAAACCTTATTTGTATTGATACATGGTGCTGAGCGAGAAGCAGACAAATCGTGATATCCCGAGCACTTCAGTAAATAAGGCCAGATTGGCCTATTTATATCTGAATCGGCCATTTCAAAAACATTCAAGAATACTAGTGAGCTGTGATGCCTCTTATTAGTCCGTTTAAATAATGGTTTGAAACTCAGAGCTCCGTGAAACAAGCGCATTATTGGGCGAAAAAATTTTCCTTTACCATAGATAGCTATTGCCAACCATCCTGATAAATTGAGCACAAAGTTTTTCTTCGCAGATGTATCACATCGGTGCTGGGATCGCTAATTAATGTGCCCTTGGACCTCTTGGCTTCAAATTTGACTATTTTCTTGCCCACATTGAACATATAGAGGAAGATACACCTACTCGTCTTATCGGGTGGTCCAGATTAAATGACACTATCAGTATTTTAACTACAACGTTTGTTTAGTTTATCGCTAAGAGCCAGATTTTATCTCGAATGAACTGCCGTCAAATTCTCTATCTTCTCATATATGTATGATTTTCTAACAGTTATTTCAGATGAACTTTTGGGATATCAATTAAGGAGATACAGAAAGTCTCACTTGCTAACGAGTAATGTAAGAAAAAATGAACTCATGATTATGAGTAGTTATATTTATCTCTTCTTCTTTATGCGTGATCGAACTGGTTTTTTAATCAAACAATACGCTCAGTTCTCCACTACGTGATGTATTTCATTGATCAAATTGAGTCTCCTATAGTTTTTTGGATGTGAGATAGTCAGGTGGCAATCTCGATGACCAAAATATGAATTTTTTTCCAATTTTCTCATCTCATACCAGCAGTCTCAAAACAATGCTATCTTGCGCGCATAGAGAAAAACAGAAAAATAAAAATACTGATAATCATAAGTGCGTTTTTTTGCATTATTCGTTAGCAAATGAGACTCTCTGTATCTTCTCAATCTATATTCCAAAAGTTCATCTGAAATAACTACTAGAAAGTTGTACATATATGAGAAGGTAGAGAATTTGACGGCGGTTCTTCGGAAATAAAATCTGACTCTTAGCGATAAACTGAACAAAAATTATAGTTAAAATACTGATACTGCCAGTCAATCTTGACCACTCGATATGTCTAATATTTAGAAACATTATCGTTGTTTGTTTACCTTGATTGTTTGAACATACTTGATATGCTTCCAAGCAGAGGAACACAAGGACCAGGATGAAATTCTGCATAGCTAAGTGAATAAACAGTAGCCTGTTTGCATCTGCTTTTATTCGTGCGTTTCATTAAAAGTATACTCTTATCTATTGATAACAGTTTCTTATCGATAAGTTGACGCATATTCCTGAGTTGCACCGAAAAAAAAAGAGTGAGCCAACCATGAGATGGCAAGTAACAAAATAAATATTGGCACACCTGTAACGAAAAAATGAAGATGGGGGTGGAAGCAATGTTAGTGAAGGTGAGAGACGGTGATGATACACTTAATTCTAACCCTTTCCATCATTTAATCGTTATGTGACGATCAATGATAGAAGTTAGACTAGTGTTGATGGTATTACACTTTATTCTATTCCTTCATATCATATAATCGCCTCGTTTACATAAATAGCACACGCTTATATACACAAGTAGAATAAGAGATGATGACAATAAAGATGATGAGGCCAAGGAGATTACAATATAAGAGTGCACAAGTGACAAGGCCAAGGAGAGAAGAGATATAAATGAACAATAGAGTATGAATACATAAGTGAGAACAATGCACATAATATAAGTGTGACTGATGATATAGAATGAGAAGCACATTATAATAGAAAGAGAACAAGGTTCAATCAATGATAGATAAGAGTAACACGTTGTGAGCACTATGTACCCTTGATCATACAAGAACGCACTGACAAAGAAAAGATATCAAATAAGATTATAGGCCTATTGGCACAACACCTACTTGCATTGTTCTGATGCAAGTGATGAAAGCCTCATGCATCTTTAATTGATATTTTCTTCATGAAAGAACTTCGATTGGAAGCGAGCTGATCGAAAAAACCTTCATCGACAAAAACCCTGAATATCAATATCTAGAAATACCACGTTTTTGTAGTACGAGAAGAAGAAGGGTGTGGGTGTGGGTGCGAATGTTCTCTTCGTCTACATCCACGCCCTCACCTTACACTCACACCCACACCCACACCCACACCCACCCACACCCACACCTACACCCCACCCACACCCACACTCACACCCCTATTTTAATCCATTCATTAAATTAGTTGCATTAAATCAAATAATGTTGTTTATTTTTATTTTGCTATAACATACGATCTATATTTAATTAAATATATATATATGTATATAATTCTATTCTCCTGTTCTTCTCTACTATTCGACTTCGACTAAGTAATTTTTAACTAAAATTTGAATAAAATTTTTATTCAATTCATCTGAATGAAGAAGAATAAAATGAATGTAAATAAATAAATATAAAATGGATAAAATAAATATATGAATATAATAGTCGAATTTGTTCATACTTTTGAAAAGAGATTAATTTTGATCATGTTATTTCTTCAGTCCAAAATCTTTCTCATCTCTACACTGATATTAAGTATGTCAATCTTTAAAAAAGACCATCTTATCAATGCATAAAACAATCGTTACGATTTCTTAATTCAAAACTAGAAAAAAAAAGAATTAATGTATTAATCAATGAAATATGTCTTTTTTTCCTATGAATCATGTTTATTATATTTACATTGAAATGAAGTGTAACAAGATCAAACATAAGATAACAAAAATAAAGAAAAAAAAATGTCAAAAAAAAAGTTATCTATAAGTTTTTCATCAATAACATAAACATAAATATAAGCTTGATTACAAAGTTGATCTTAATTTACTTCTGTTCTTTTGGAAAAAGTTCTTTCATTACAGTTCTGATATCATTAAAATCAGCAGATTCAAGACGAGCAAAATCATCAGATTTTGACTTGTTTATTAATTCTAATAAATCGAAATAGTTTCTATCATTCTTTTTAAGTTTTTCCAAATATTCTAATGATGCTAAAGCTTTTTCTTTCGTAGATAGAAATTGTTTCATTGAATTTATTTCGTTTTTAATTTTAGAATTTGTCATATACATTATGACATTCAATGCACATTGAAGATCAAAGGTTTGTTCATAATCATCGAGTAGTTCAAAACATGACTGAAATGATAATTTTGAATAATAATCTAGAAATTTTTGACCAGCATATGTAATTGTTCCTTCAATTGGTAATCTTTTTGTCATTTCATTCTTTTGGTAAATTGTGGCAAAGCCAAAATCGATTAATTTTAAATGTCGATGACTTGTATCATACATTAAGTTTTGTGGACGTAAATCACGATGAAGAACACAAGAATCATATAAATATTGAATGATATTAATAAGTTGTTGCGAGTGAGTTAATGTTAATGATTCCAAACGTTCTAATTGTTTTGAAAATATTATAAATTTATCTAAATATGAAAATAAACAAATTATGAAGAAGATAAAATATTATTATTAATAATCGTGAAATAAAGATGTTCGATATGAAATTTTTATCATTACAAATTCATAATCATTTAAAAATACATTCAATTGAAATTGATTTTTTAAATATGAAATTGATCAATATCTTCTTTTTATTAGCTATTTTCTCTAAACAAGGACATAAAAACATCGAGAATTGCTCAATTATAATTTTAGATATATATCCAAAAGATAAAGTGATAAACATAATTTTAAAATGATTTTCTTATTACAGTCATTTTACTCATAACAATTCAGACTATTTACTAATTTTAATGCAGAATTTCGCACGTTATATTTTGAAACAAAAACAAGCATTGTGATCGATTCTCAAATAAGAATTTTTAAATTCAACCTAAATCTACATTAATGAATAATGACATTTAACAATCAAGAATGTAATCAATTTGAAAAAGAACTAATGTCTATGACAAAAGTGTTTAAAACGTAAAAAAATCAGGTAAAACAAAAAATCTGATCAATTTTAGAAAAATTAAATTTGAAGAAAAAGTTTTTTTTGTATTAAAAGAACTTCACAGTTTATTGAAAACAGAAAGTCAAGTCATTTTCATCGAATTTGTATATTTGATGATGCGCAACTATTTACTAGACTATATTTTAGAATGTGTCTATTTAGAATTGTAAACTCTTTTATTTAATCTATCTCGAACTTTTATTTTTTATGATTTCCATAGTTTATATGAAAAAAAAAATTATATTAAATATCATTATAAAAAATCCTGTACATCACTAAATTTCTATTCATTCTCCATAATCATACGAATTCTCATACAAGAAAAAAGCCAATTTTTTTCGATTTTATTCATAATGAAAATACGTTGCAACTCATTATGAATTATCAAACATATTAAGAACATATAAAAACTTCACTTGTTCAAATAGATGAAAGAAATAAAAATAATAGATTTTTATTTTCTTTTATTTTTTAGTTAAAATTTTATTAGTTATCATTCTTCTTATTTCATATTTCGCTTCAATCTATATACAGGATAATCCAAAAATTATCTGACAGTCTTTGATTGCAAATAAATTTTCATAAGAACTAAATACAGACCTGTGGGTTTCAATAATCGAAAGAGAAGATGAAGATGCATCGAATTTTATAGTATAAATTTTTTCTATAATGCTATCTAGAATTTTCTTTATCAATTTTTAAAAAAAAAGAATGCCAGAAAACAGATTTCTTATAAAATAAGAAAAAAGTACAAAAGTGTTTTTTTTTCATAGAAATTAATAGAATAATTGGTTCAGAATATCTACTAGAATACCTAAAACTTCAAAAGAAGTAACTCTCCAAGTCTGACCTTGGTATAGTTTTCTAGGTGTCTGACTATAGATTCGAATGCACACCTAATCATAAAAAGTTCCATGTAGTCACCTTAAGAAATACGTTCGCTTTCAAAAATATCGATTTAAATTCTTGAAAAAGCTAAGTTAACTTAAATTATAATTTTAAAGTCGCGTCTTCATCTTCTCTTTCGAATGATGATAAATCAAGGCTCTCGTTCTTGTTCTTATCAGAAGTTATTCGCAATCAAAGACTGCTGAATTACTTTTGGATTACCCTGTATATGACTATCTTAAAAACAGAAAAAATCCTATATTTTCATGTCGAATTAGAAGTTCAAGTAGACTCTTATGATTTTAACTCTTATATGTATTTACAAACAGATGAAAATAAACTTATCTAGTTTTTGTTTTTCTTGCTTTATTAACTATAAAAATTGAAAACAAGAAGAACAAAAAAAGAAAACAATAACTTTTATTTTCAATTAATTTAATTTTTTTTCAATATTTCTCTTCATATTTATTTTATATGTTACCGATAGAAAAAAAAATATTTATTTTGCTCGAACTATTATCCTAAGAAAAAAAATTAATGTTCTAGTTATTCATTTATTATGATCAGTAATTTTTTTTTGCTTTTCACTCTTATTCAAACAAATTCGATTGAAGAACTATAGTTTTGACAATTTCAGTATCTTATAAAATCTTCTGTTTCCTTATATTTTTCTCAATTCTCCGAACAATAAACAAAATTCTCTATTGGGTTTTTTTTCTCAATAGACTTTGAACATATTGAAAACGTTAACAAAAACATTAATAAACAAATATTACCTTCATTCGATGAACAATAAATACTTTGAAAATATGAATAAAAGTTATCCAAATTTTGTAATTCTTTTATCATGTTAACTTCGTTATTGAATAACCTTGAATATATACTTCCTTTAGAAATTTTTATTACAGGATGTGGTGGACCAATTTTGGAATAACTATTATTTTTCTTTATAAATAAACCATTGAAGTTAATCCATCTCCTAATTTTCGTTGTATTTTATATTTATCATCATATAAATAATCATTTGGATTTATATTTAACGCCGTATATTGATAAAATTCTGTTTTCATTGTTAAAAATTTTAGAAATATTTTCCATGTATGGTCATTTATATAGCTTGTTTTTGATTGTTCACTTGTTGTTTTCATATTGACAGATGATGATGATGATGATGATGATGTTTCAGACAAATCATTAAATAATTTGAAAGATTTGCTTTGATAAAAATCATATAAATTCGAATACGGTTTCTTTTCAACATAATAAAATCTTACATATTTAATATTTATTAAAAAACCATAGATCCTTTCACGAGTTTGATTACGTAATAGAATAGTCAAATAAAGTAACAATTGTCCGATTGAAACAGTATCCGTTATAGAAGTGCTTGACGATTTTACTTCACCAAGACAAACAGCAACATCTTGTAAACATTCACATTGTTCATCAATATCAATATTCACATTTTTGTATATAAAAGTACAATCTGGAGCACGCTCTTCTAGATATGGTTTTTTACATGTTCGTAAATATTTTAATGATGTATCCTTTTTTAATATGCTTAATAAACTAACTATTAATTCATCAAATGCATTTTGAATTTCTGCTTCCAACATATTAGAAGATGATGTAAGACGACGATAGTTTTCAATGCAATTTTTTACTGATCATCAAGATCATCATTATCATTAAAGTGATTATTATCATGTAATAAAGAATTAATTTCGAACGACTTAATATATTTTGCATACCGATTGAAAAAACCATGTTCATTTATTGCTCTACTCTGTTCTTCACTAAATGATGATGAAGATGGTGGTCCATGTGGTAATTTCATTCGTTTGCTGTTTTGTTCAACAAGTAATTCTTTTTCTTTTTCAATAATAAGTAATTGATTTTGTTGTTGTTGTGTTTTCTCTTTTGCGATATCTAATGCTAGTTTTGTTGGAATTAAAGTAATTTCCAATGTCTTTGAATTTTCTTGATCACCATCACCATCGCTCATTATTGTATGCTTTTCGCTTGGTTTTTTTATCTACAAATACGAGAAAAATTATTTGTGTAAAGATGATGAAATCAGGCTTAATATTAAGATGAGCTGCATATCGTTGCGTGTTCAAACAGAGTCGCCATTGTTTTAAAAGCGTTCCACTATATTTGTACGTCGTGGACGTCGTGAACGTCGTGGAAGCTAGCCCAATCGGATAGTTCAACCGGATTAAAATAATTAATGATTCTATTGGGTGATCCTTTAATCAATAGATATCGTTAAATTCGCAAAACACCATTAAAGAGGAGCACAAAATAAATATATATTTTGGAAATGGTCGCCTTAGTGATGATATATTTGAATTATATTTTTCGCTTAAATTTTTTTTCAATTAAATGATAATTAGCATTTTTGCTTAATTCCATGCATTTTTATTATGAATGAAAAACATAAAAATAAAAGTGAATAAAGATATAGAGTAAGCAGGGGTAAATGTATAGACAAAATCAGTGAGCTTTAGTATAATGACTATCACTTTTTTATTTTTGCTTTTTTCAAAGAATTTTCTCCACAAGATTTCTAGCTGAACACTTTCGGCATCTATTGGTGAAACTCGAATATCAAAATATTGGAAGTATACCTATTTATAAGATGTTCTTTGTGCAATAGTTTTCGATTATATATTTACTCCATTTGGGTCTAATCTATAAGCATGCTGGCATCATTAGGGTAAATGTATAATCTCAGCAGATTTTGCTGGATACACTAAAACTCAATTCTTAGATGATCCCTATGGAATTTTTTAAGGTGCTCTCTACACGGAAATTGTTCACAATAATAAGGTTAACAATTCTAATACATTTCCAAAATCTATTTAAAAATTTTGAATGTAATTCTATCTGTTGCACCGAAACGTGCGATTAACTTCGACGTTTTTTCTTTCGGTCTTTTTTATACCATTCGGTTTCTCAATGTAGCTGATTAGTTTGTTTCAGACTTCGAGTACTCAACATAATATACGGTTTCAGATTCTCAACAAGTATTTCTCATAAATATTTAAGAAATTCATTCGAGACTCATTTATAGAATTGATAATTTTTGAAATATATAAAAATACCTACATGAAATGAATTATAAAAGATGAAAGTAATCGAAAATTAAGTCTATAAATACATAGTATTAAGTAGCAGCATTATTCATTTACTTATTCGAATACGAACAATTGAAGACACGAATTACTACAAGGCTTCTTTCATTTGTTTGTATTATTTTTACCGGTGGTCAATTATGAACATATCCATTATCTACAGATCTTCTTTGTATGTTCTTCCATAGGTCATTTAAAATAAAAGAAAAGAGAGAAAATAGACCGTTAATAATATTCACATGTAGGATTTATCGAACAAGTAACAATCATTCACAAAACGTAAAGAGTTCATTTCAATTTTCTTCTTCTTCTTAATCACCAAAATAGTGTATGAAAGATTGAACACAAAATAATGGAAAAACAAGTTCATTTTGAAAATATTATAAAACAATCTATTCATTTACAAAAACAAGGAGAATTAATGACTATTGAACAAATCAAACAATCATTTGATTCTATTATAAGAAAAATCGACGAAAATAATAACTTATTATCAGATAAGCAATTTATGAAAAAACTTCTAGAATTAGCAATTCATTCAAATGAAAAAAATTTATGCCATCCTACTATAATTAATCATCGTATCTTTTTTTATCTTACGTGATTATTATTTAGATCTTATAAAACGTTGGCGTTTTGATGAAAAATTCGATGACATATCTTGTTTTATATTTGCAACAATTTCGAATTTATTTCTAAAAATGTCAAGTCATATATCAGATAGTAGTATATCAATATTAAAAGAATTAATTTTTCATGAAACACTTCTCAATGAAATAAATCAATTTTTTAAAGAATTATCAATGAGTGGTAAATATTTACAAGATCCTCAAATAAAAAGTATTGATAATTTATTACGAACAATTCAACATCTTGAACGAATTAATTTTGATGATAAAAAATATTATTTATTTGATAATATCGTTAAATGTATTTGTTCATCATTATTTATTGAAATATTTCTTCAATCTTTAAATCAAGAAAATGATGATGTTAGACAAAGATTTTTATTAAATACATGTACAGATTATATTTATTCTCATTCAACTGATAAACAATGTTTAATTGATATTCGTCAATCACTTCTTCGTCCATTTACTGAATGATTAATACAACAATCATCATTATTTCGTTTATGGAATAATCGAATGATAATTAATTTACGTCAAATTTGTTTTTTATTAACACTTACGTTAGTATTCAACTTAATCGATTTATTATTCTTGATAATGATATATTAGATTATTATTGTCAAATTATTGATTCATTTATTAATATACTTTATTCAATAATACAATCTGATAATAAAATAAATAATAAATTATCACATTCATTAATTGGAACGATAATACCTAATTTATATACAATGACATTATCAAAACAATTAGAAAAATATATTCAAAATAAACATATTATTTCATTAATATTAAAATTAACGAATTTTGACAATGATGAAATACAATTAAATGCATTTAAAATTCTTTCATCAATAACAACTGAACAAGAAACAAAAAATATTGATTATTCAAATAACATTGCAGATCTTTTTATTAAATTTCTTAATAAAGTTATTGATGATTCAAATCAAACATTAAGATTTTATAATTTACTTCGATGTCTCAAACGTAAGTTTAAATGATTTTTCTTTTTTTTTTTTGAATTTGTTCAATTATTAATGTTTAAATATTGTTTTTTTGTTTAGATTTAATTCAATATGATCAAATTAAAGATGAATTAACAAAACAAAATGGTCTTCCATTAATTATTCGTTGTGTAACAGATATTAAATTTAAACCACTTCAAGTACAACAACCTGCTTTAGAAATTCTTTTTGCTCTTACATTTAATAAAGAAGCTTATCAACAACTAGTAGTAGCACTAGTCGACGATCTTGACTTCGTTCTTTCCAGATTCTTGTTTTTCTTGATTATCAGACAAGATTCTTTTTAATCATAATATTCAGCCAAGAAGCCTTTCGAGAGGAATGAAAAAAGATTCTTACCAGAAGTTCAAGATGAAAAGGATCTTGTCTGATTACTCAGAAGTAAAAGAACCAGACAAGAATTATAAGACATTCAAAATTTTTTAAAGTTCAGACAAGAATCTTTTTCCTTTCCTCTCAAAAAGAATCTTGACTGGAGTTCAAGATGACAAGAATCTTATCTAATTAATCAGGAAAACAAGAGTCTGGAAAGAACCACAAGATATTTAAAATTTCTTGAAGTTCAGACAAGCTTCTTTTTTCTTCTTTTACATGATTTGTATCTGACCGTCAAGATCAATATAGCACGTGATCTGTTCGTTCAAATACATATATAAATATAGACGTATAACCGTTACTTATTCATTTATAATTACAGTAATATTTCAAGATAGTCGATCATTTTGAAAAGACATCTATCAATACGTAGGTGAAGTTAGCTCCATATTCGAGTAAAACCTTCCCATATTCGTTCAGGAGCGTGCTCTAAGTGTTCCAGCCCGGTTCCAAGTACAACTCGACGAGCTCTATCCAGTGGTAACCTTGGAACTTCCGTAGCCCAAACCAATCCTGAGAAAAATCCAAAATACTCCACTTTTTCTATGGGAAAAGGCAAACCTACTTAGTAAAACGTTCCCATATTCGTCCAGGAACGTGGTCCAAGTGTTCCAGCCCGGTTCCAAGTACAACTCAACGAGCTCTATCTAATGGTGACCTTGAATCACTCGCAATCCAAACCACTGGCAAGAAAATCCCAAAATAGTACCTTTTCCCTATGCCTATGGTCCCTAAAACCTTCCCATATTCGTCCAGGAACGTGGCCCAAGTGTTTCAGCCCGGTTCCAAGTACATCTCGACGAGCTCTATCTAATGGTGACATGGGATTTTCCGTAACCCAAACTGATCATGAGAAAAATCCAGAATACGGTACTTTTTCCTATGGGAAAAGCGAAGCCTACTTAGTAAAACCTTCCCATATACGTCCATGAAGGTGGTCCAAGTGTTTCAGCCCGGTTCCAAGTACAACTAGACGAGCCCTGTCTAATGGTGACCTTGGATCACTCGTAAGCGAAACCATTGGTGAGAAAATCCCAAAATAGTACGTTTTTACTCTGTGTATGATCGGTAAAAGTGCAGGATGTGGGTGTGGTTGAAAACGACACGTATACCCACAGCCACTGCCACACCCACACTCTTCCTTCATTAGCATTTTCAATCTTTTGTTGGAAGACTTTTAAGAATCGGATGGCATTTGCTGGCTTTCCAAGTTCCAGGCTAGTTCTTCCAGGTAAATGTCGTGCTACTGCCTTTTCATCTGCACTGTGGTCTTCGTCTCCAACGGGTTGTATCTGAACAACGATACTATCTCTGTATGTTGGTTCATCTCTGATAAAAACTTCAAATGTGCGCTTACATGAAGGCGTCTTGCACGTGTCTATACAAAGAAAAAGAGAAGAATTCATTTTACATGACTCTTAAAGACTAACATGATGGTTTTTGAAAGCTAAGGTGCAACTAAAGTTACGTGAGCGGACTTTCTCATACATCATGTCTGTCCAACCTGGTTCCATTTCACGTGTGGTGCTGTTGTAAATATCTTTCCAGTCTTTTGACGTGAAGATGAATGATGCCTGAACTATTTTTGGTGTTTTCGATTCCTGTTGAATTGTCGAACGAGTCGGTGGATGTGGAGGAGACTCATCAGACGCTGTAGACCTATTCACAAATTTCGGTAAAAGAAGCTCGACTTTACTTTCTTTGTCTGATTCATTAACTTTTTCAACAGAATCGTGATGACTTTCGGACAGGTCATCAGCAATTTTTTTGACAATGTCGTCGCTAAACATCATGCAAAGATTTACGTATCCTTTCTGTTTGATTTAATTTCAATTTGGATACCAAACGGCCCCAAATAGATTCTTTCGAACTGGTGAAATCATTATAGCGCCATGTTTCCATTTCAAGTTGTTTTTTATCGGATCCTAATTCCTTAATAGCCGATATAAATTGTTTTCGAGTAATTTGATCCCAAATAGTTTGTTTCTTTTCTACTTCCTTTTCGTCTGACTTTTTATCTAAGTTATCTTCCATTACTTGCTTGGATAACTGATCATGTGATGAACTATCTTCTGTATGTTGTGTTGATCCGGATTTAGATTTATTTTTTACTGATGAGGTGAATGGAGTCTTTCGTTTCATTTTTCAATATAAACAAACTTAACTACTCTATTTGTAATCCCTGTAGAATATAGATTAATTGAATCGACGAATGATGATGTATGTTGCAAGATGAGTGATACTCAATTTGTCTTTCCTGTTAATATACAGTCAATGTTCCTAATAACAACATCCTATGAAAAATAAAGAGAAAATAATTTTTTTACTAAATGGAGTTTTTCCATGGTTAAACATGAATGTTTTTTTGTGCACCTGTCACCAAAAATATTTGTTCATTACTAACCTGTAAATATTCAGCGGTTCTAGTTAAACGAAGTTTTCCTTTTTATGTTAATGGCATGAGTTGAATATTAGTGTTGCTAACAAATGGTGGGCTATCTAACTTACGCTTACTCAGTCTCATTTGTATTTCAGTTGATAGTATAGCACTTCGCGATATATTCATATCTTTTTTTTATCATAAAGTTATGCAAGTTAAA